CCGAGCCACGGCGCGTTCCCTCTTGCCTTTCCAACGCGCCGCCCGCAGCCAATGTATGATAGACTAGCCGGGCTAGACCTCGAGCGGCTCGAGCGCTTCTCTCGACGCGCTCTCATTAGTCCAATTGTAAAAATTAATATCTCGTTTATTAATGCGAATATCGTAAAACGGTAAAGGACTTTTATATTTATTTCAATCCCATCTACCTCCCAGTTCCCGGTGGTACACCTTACGCGGGACACCCTGTATATTGCTACAATGTTGCTGCAAATTACGTATCAATATTTTTGAAGTGGACATTTTTACCGTTGCTGAAACATTGCAGTAATATTTTGCAACGTTTTTACAAAACTGTGCTGGGACGACACTTATGGTATTTATGCATTATAATACAGCAACTTTTAGCTTAGAAGAAAATATTACAAGACATGGTGAATAATAGGAAAAACTGCAAACCCATCCATAAACGGCAACCGGAGACATTTATATAATATGTTATCAACAAAAAATGTTATTGTATTGTTCACGTTCATACTTCTTACATAATAAATACCTAGTTTAGATGAACGTATTGGATGCTGGTACAAGTCTCTGAGAATTTAAATGAAGCCCCAATACATTTATATCTACCGTCAATGCAAATAATTTGACTAATAACACAAATTCGATTGCCAATAGCTACAGTATTGTCGGGAATTTTGCAAGATAATTTTGTATTTCCATATATTAATTTTTCACATGTAAAATAGGAACTTATATTTGAATTTGGATAGTGAACTTGTTTAGGCACAAAATTTGAAATAGCTGATTTAATTTCAATATCAATGTTGTCTTCTTCTGCAATACGATTACATATTTGTTCTAGAGGTAATCGTTTTGAACAAATTCGTCTTTTTAGTGATTAGAGATAGTTTTCGAAAGAAAAACAACTGTACCTATTTAAAGGACCGTACGTTTGTACGTCTGTACAAATATGTAATAAGGAATGAATATTATATACTACAAAATCTTCACCATAAATTTCAGAAGCTTTGCAAACAAATTGCCTAATAGATTCTTCAGCAATATGCAAGTAAAATTTGATCAAGGACGCACTGGACAAAAATAGTGATTGCTGCATAGTATAAAATGATCATATTTAACACTGTCAAGAATTTTATACGTGACAATTGGACCACTATATAAAGTAAAAAAAACGAAACTCTGTTGCTTTAAATCTATGTACGTGCACTAGACTTCGAGGCTTTCAACAAAAGTCTGCAGTAACGAATGGGCGTATTACTTGTGTATTATAATCTATGGCTGAAATATTTTGTCGTGAGAGTTTACAATGATGGCCTCCTTCGATCCAATACATTATAAGTAGACGCTTCATATTTCCTAGATATATTAAATGCATAGGATCTAGTACAAACTGTGTTATCATATCTATGTTTAATGACAAGTAAGATCAATCTGCTTTTAATATAACGACCATCTATTTTATTATATACAAAATCATTATTAGTTTGCAAAACTACCGATTTTTTTATTTTAGTTGGACAATATTTTGCATTTTTCACTTTTTTAACAGTGCATCTTTCGCACGCATATGTATGTCCTTTAATCATCTTTAGCATAGCTCTTGCCGGTGCATCGGCAGCAAAACATTCAATTTCGGCATACAATATTTTACCATTATACTGAAAACCGTGTTCTCGCAAAGAATTAATTTCTTCTATAAAAGAATTGAGATAATGATCAAGATTCGATGGTTTCCCTTCACCATAGAAGCATGCAATCATGAACGGGCGATCATCGACAAGATCATCGCTACGAGCTAAAATTGGCCATAAGTTTGTGTTGCTACTTTTAAATATAGGTAACTCATCAATGTTTATAATCAGTTTAACAGTTAGAATGTTCTGTTTTAATCCACCATTTCGTAATTTACGAATTAAACAATGTTCCACGCCAAAGTAACACATCTTCCCATTGTCACAAGAAATTGTTTCTACTTTTCTAGGTGTATGCAGCAACATTTTAGCGGTAGAAGGCAAAAATGTGTAAGCCGGATTAATTAAATTCAAAATTTCATCCAATGCAGCATGTGTAAGATTATGGACATTAGCTAATCGACGCAAATCATTGGTAAAAATTTTTGGATTTACTAAGAATGTATGCATACATCTTTGTCTTTACTACAATCGTCAATGTTTTCCAAAAAAATAGTCGTTCTCGGCTAAATGAAAAGAATTCTTAATGATGCTAGAATTACAATTTTTAGTCGAAATAATGGAAATATTTTCATAATGTAGCACATCTACATTATCTATTGCCATATCTTCATCATTTACCCTATCATTATTTCCGATAATTGAAACATACATTAGGTAAAAAATTACCAACATTGTGCAAAATATTAGAATTACTATTTTCAATATTCACATTTCTTAATATTTTTTCCACTGACTGGGTTACCTTTCGACGCCTCTGACGTTTACTTAAAAGTTTTATATTTTCATTCATTTTTCGAAATATCTTGGAAAAACAAAGAAATTATTATTTAGCAATGTTATGCAAAAAACAATAACACTAATTAATAATTAAATTCTCATGCCTATAAACTAATTAAAGCAAATAATCTGTAAAAAGATTTAATAATAATATAATTATTGTAATTATTTTGTATGATATAAACAATACGTAATAATTGATAAAAAAATACATAAAATATGTTCTACAGAGCATCAATCAAAAGTATGAGACCACTTGCCAAAAATTGGCTAACTTGAAACATCGGCATCTCAGTATGGAATTATTGTTTTAAATTTTATAACATGGATTTAATAATTGCAAAAAAATGCATGACTCGGAGTGGAGATGCGAAGAGACCGTGATAAATTTTCACGGTAATTATACACATGCGCGCGCGCGCGCGTGTGTGTGCATGTACAAAACATGTTTAATACAATTAAAATTGCAACATATTTTATATAAAAATTGTTAATATTTGTGTTGGTAATTATGAAAGTGGTCTGTAAGTAAAAAATCTAAAAAAATGAATTTAATAAAAACATATTTTATTAAGAGTAAAATAATTTTTACCTGTAAATGTCTAAGTTGGAAGAGATCCAAAGTCAGTGATCAACATCGATGATCGCAAAGATCGTAAGGATGTGGAGACTGGTGTCGCGAAGAAGCTTCCAGGCTTGAAAATCACAAGATGATCACAAGACGATACGAGCATTTGCCAGTAAAATATATACTAAAACAATAAATTCATCTACGTTAAAAAGCAATATAAAAATGCACGTAATTCATAAATCAGACAATATTTGCGAAATTGCTGACAATCATACATCTGAAAATAATTTATACACTATATTTCTACTTCATTACTTAACTAAAAATATATTTATTGGTGTTTATGTTAGAAAACATAAAAAGTATAATTTTTACCTGAAAATGTTGAATCTCCAGCTTGTCAAGTCGTCATGAAACCACACTAAACTTCGCACTAAACTGACTGAACTGAGAGCCTCAGCGGGACGGCGCGGCGGGAGAAACACAGCGATTGACATTAACAAATGAAAATCGTGAAAAACGCGAAGACCGCGACGTCGCATGCCATATATGGAAAAAGCTTCCAGTCTCCAAACAAAACATAATCACGCGGTCGCGCGTCGAATATCGAAAGAGAGGCACTCCTCGCCCGAGGCGCGAGCCACGAGTGTATGAAGACTGGCATGCAAACCTCGAAATAAAAACACTTAAAACGCACGATTCTTGAAAATGGGAGAAAGGGCCGTGATATTTTTTCACATGTAAAATACATATTGCACTAAGATTTGTAAATTAATTTTAAATAATATAAAATTTTTTATACGATAGTATATTATACGTTTTTTAATAATTGTTTTTATTACATGTGTATAGTACAAAATAATTTTATACGCTGTAAAATAGTTTATGAAACATCAAAATTTCTAGTGCAGCAAATTAAAATTAAGTAGTATGAAATACGTTTATTATTCGTTTAAATATTACCGTATGAATATGATATATACTTAACCTTTTATTGACGTATTTATAAAAAGTATATCATACCTAAATATTAAATCATATTTTTAACACGTTATTTTAAGGAATATTTTTTGCAAATTATAAACGTATTAAAAAAACATTTATTTGATTACAATATTATATTATTATTATACGTATTATAAACGTAGACGAAATTATGATGTTCCATAAATTATTTTTCAATGTATAAAATACGTTTCGTACTATACAAACGTAGTAAAAACGACTATTATAAATGTATAATATACTATCGTATAAAAAACGTTTATATTATATACGTATATGTCATATACCTATACCAATTTAATACCATATTTACGTTTAATAGACGTATATTAAACGAGCCTGTTCTTATTGGGGTGTTCAATATTAGAAGATTATTCTTACCCAAATCAATATAGATATTTATTTTTTCCGAAAAACATTAGTCTCCTACCTTGAAGTATCGTCCGTTGAATAATAAGATTATTGAGAAAGTTCGTCGAAAGAACCGACGTTGTCGAGTTTCAAAGAAAGTGTAATAAAAATGTTTGAAAACGGTTTTTCTTCCTAAATTTTCTCAAGGAGGGGGAAACCTAGTATAAAACGGGAAGACGCTGAAAAATCACACAGTTTCACATTTTCTCGTGCATTTGTGATCATAGCGATCTGTATTTCCGTCTTCGCGTGATTTCGCTACGTATTGAATCCACGTTTGATTAAAAATGTCTAGTTTGCGGGGAATGATCGAATTATGTTTGCGATTGACTCGTAGTTTAAACGGACTCTGCATCGATAATTATTTATCATCGTTATCCGACAACGACGATAATAATTATGTTGTATTCGCAAAGTTTGCGGGTGCGTGTCCTAGCGCGATGCTCGCGGTTTTATTCCGTTTGAAGCATTTCGCGATTTACCTCCAACTTTTGATTATTGCTGGCGAAATAATTGAGATGAGGCACGCGTTTAACGACATCGAAGAAGAGGATACGGGAGGCTATATCGTCAACCTGTTAAATTATTATCGTGGTGCAGTAAAAAATGGTAAGTTTCTATTTTTTATTATAAATATTAAAACAAAGTTTTAAAAAATTAAAATCATTATTTTTTAGGAACGCTACAATATCACACGTCGAAAAAAATCGTGGCGGTGAGGGGTGAGCCGCATGGTAAGCGTCAAAATCATGACAAAGAGCGCGCTACTCAACGCCACGGGATAAGACGTCGAGTCGATACCTCGCCTGAGGCTGGACCCTCGCGTAAGTCATTGTATACATTATTTATATGAAATAAAATAACAGCATCGATTTTATATTAGGAAATTTTTCAAAAAAAATTTAATGTTTCAGCTCGCAATCGAATTATTCTTACGACGGAGCTTGTCGATCTTGCGAGCAACGAATTGGCGAGTCAACTGTCGCCGTCTCCTCGCAAAGTGAGCTCATTCGATGAAGAAAAAATATTCAATCCTTTATACAGTAAGTAATAAGAAAAGTTATCTTAACAGAATCACAAAATAACTAAAAATTTGAAAAAATACTAATGTAAATTTTTTAGATAACGACCGGAACAGTCAACAGAGAGAAATATTACCCGAGACTGACGAAGATGACGAAGAGGAAGAGCAGGAAGACAAAGAAGAAAAGCAGGAGGAGGAAGAGCAGGAAGAGGAATTACAGGCTGAGGAAGAGGAGAGGAATTATGAAGGAGGGGATGAGTGCGATGAGGAAAGCCAGGAGCAAGACGGATGGGGAATGGGTGACAGAGATAAGAAAGATTGAAAATTTTTACAGTTACTTTTATGCTCGAATTTTATTTTTTAAACATTAAAATTTTCTCAGGATACAGTCCTCGCGATTTCTTACTCTCCCGATTACAATTATCAAACGGGAGTGTAAAATAAAAAAAAGAAAATCTAGAAGTGAGTTGATTTAACATTACAAATTTTTCGATTTTATTGCAAATAAAATTCGAGCATGAAAATATAAAATATAATATTTTATTAAATTTTTAAATTAATTTGTTAATTTTTTAATTTCGACTTTTGCAGTTCAAACAGGTAGAGGTAGAGAAAAGTCGGAGGAAACTCAGTCGAGCGAGGAATCGACTAGCGAAACCGACGATTTTGAAAGTGCGCCGTAGGAGCCTCGCAAGGAAAGAACGGAGGAAGAGGAGGAAAAGGAAACGAACAAGCGGAGGATATCGATGCTGCAGCGACGGCGGAAAGACGTCAAAATAATAATCAGGTCGACAATAATTTTAATTATATAGAATTAGTATCGAAAAACACGTGTAGGTTTAGAAATTTCGGGCTAGAGGGTAGAGAGGCTAGATTCTGTATACTGCCATTTCCCGAGGGAGGAGGGGAGGTTTACACACGATTGGAAAATGCGTTTCGTGAAATTCACTCTTACGTGATATTTTCATGCGTACCGGGAGATTATGTTGGATTGTCTTTCGACTCTCCAACTCTTTCTCACGGCCTTGCGGGAATATCGTTCCATCCGGCGTGCGATTTGACTCACGAGAATATTTGGAATCTCGTGAGTTTATTAGCTCAGAGTTCAGGGGGGTTAAACGTAGCGCAAGAATTCAATATCCGCGTTTTTCGTATCACCCCTCTCGCGGGACGTGGATATAACACGATAGATATTGTTAGTAAACGTGCGATTGTAACAATAAATAACACCGATAATGTGTGTTTTCCTCGTGCGCTCGTGACGGCGCTAATTTATAACGAGCGTGGAAATGTATTTACGTACGGGCGAGTTGCATGCGAGATGGAACGCAGTGAGAATACAAAATTCGTCGTTACAACGCGAACTTGCACGTGAGTTAACGAAAAAAGTTGGTATCGCGATTCCGGAAGACGGCTGCGGAATTAGGGAATCAAACATTTCTAACAATATTTAGCCGCGGAAAATATTTAGTCGCGATAATAGTTTACAATTCCGACACTTTCGGACGCGGGGGTAAACCATTATTCGACGGAACCGCGATACTAGCCTCTCTACATCACGAATCTATCATATATCCCGATTAAATATTTTATTTGTCGTCGAATCGCGCCGTTATAGCGTAATTTTAAATTTAAGAGCCGCTGCTGGAAGTAGAGGGTATTGCATTCCGTGCAACGTAGCTTGTAAAGACGCGAAAGGGCATCGATGCTCTAGTCCACGATGTAACGGGATTCCAACTTGCGAGAGATTTGAACAAGACCGAATACGCTGCACGAAATGTAATCGCGAATTTTTTAATCACGCGTGCCTTGAGCGTCATCAAGCGCAAAAATCATACGACCGCACTCGCTGCAAAATCGTATAACTGTGCAAACGCTTTGAAGCGAATGCCCTGTTTACACCTTAAAGTATTATGAAACAATGAAAATGAGTAATAATGCAATAATTAGCATGATTAATTGACATCATGTAATTAATTGACATTATGTAAGTTAATATGTTGTTCGGTGTGGCAGCGCCAAGTTTTTTGTATTTTTTAATAAATATTTTGTTATTTTAATTAAATTTTTTTAAATTTTGTATATGCACTAAGAATAACATATTACTTATTTTCTAGAATCAAATTTTGATCAGTTTCATTTATACATTTTATGTATATTTTATGTATGTTTATTTTGAATTTGCATCTTGAATAATATATCAGTTACTTTTCATGTTGGTGATATATTAAAAATTTAGATAATTATTAAAATATAAACATATTGGAGTATCTTTTGGAACTTGGCCAGACCTTATCATTTACGAATTTTTGTGATATTAAGTATTATTTGCAAATCTGATATTGGAATAATATTGGATTGTGTAATAAGTAATGTCGCATTTTTCAAATTAATTTGCTTACTTTATATATCTGGCAAAACGCATTTGTACTATCACAAAAATTAAATAATTATTTGTCGATTAATTTGCCAAATATAAAATTCGCACAGATCACAGATTGCTTTATTTTTCGAGAAATTATTTATTTGACTTTAAATGTATTAATAAAATGCTTTATTAATAAACGTTTCACTTATTGCAAACGAAGTAATGGTTTATTCAGTTTAAATATATAATATTTATTTTTTCAGGTTGAAATTAAAACAGATTGCGTGAATAAGCAAAAATATGAAAAGCAAATAAATTATGATTCTGTATAAGTTGGATAAATTTTGTATACTAAAAACTTTTTATTGAAAGCTTACAACTGATACAGATATTTGATCATACTAAATATAATGAATATTACATATAATTGAAAATTGTAAAGTTTTTACAAATAACGATCTTTTATTAAGTTTTTGCTAAAAGAAGGAGCTGTCCGATGAAATAAGAAATTTGTCTATCAGAAAAATGTTGATGAAGATGAGACACTCCGCTGTCACTTGACGCGCTCGCTTGAAATCGGAAAGAATCAATCCAACATAACATTGCCGCGCATTATCCAACAATCTTGTCGCGAGACAATCGATCGATGCTGCCGATTTCGCGACACGATTTAACTTTGCGACCGATAAATAGCCGAGAGTTAGTAAAGAAACGTCTATACGTAGAGATAGCTGGGAAGATTGAATGTAGCGGTTTGAGCACTAGTGAACTGTGGATGTGTTTTGTGCCGCAGATGTACATGCAGGAACTCACCAAGCAGCGCGAGATGCTTTATGCCGTCGAGCTGATATGTCACATACCCAATCTAGCATCTAACAAAACGACATTAACGATTTAGTAGCTGCTCTCACAACTAACTTGCCAGCGGCTCTGTGTTACATCGCAAACTGCGGCGTGCACTCGAAATACGGCTTATGCGTTGCACCGCCTTCAGTTTTCGAGCGCATTATTATTATTTTTAATTCAACAGTCGAGATATCTAACGTATTTGTGTAACCGGCAGTATGGACGCGTGTATCGCGATTTTACATCTTTAACGCACATCACTGTTGTCTGTAACGCAATAAGTCGTCTTACTTAATCGACATCATATTACATTTGCTTCAGCTTCCACAATCATTTGACAATTCATAAGCTTACATTCATATGTAAAGACACGCGTTATTTAAGTTCAACGGGGGGGATATCGATAATCTTCTCGCTGAACTGCATACACTGATTGTGAATGATATATTGATATAGTTTTATAAACTTTAATTGCTAAAATAATTTTGCAAATTTTCTAAACATATTTATATTTTTGTTTTTAATTTTATCAAAAATTAGCCACCCATCTTTTTTATTGAAAATACTTTTCACTTTATTTTAGTCATGAAGTCATTAAGTTGACTAATTACTTATGCATGCATATAATAGTATTCCAACTTATTTTTTTTTATCTTTTTGTTTTTTAAAGGTAAGTTTTTAATAAATAAAAATATTACAAATTAAAATAAAGAAAAATTTTTGCGGAATAAAATATCGGAAAGTTAATTCCGACAGTTGATTAAAAACGCGATTTATTAATTTGTAATTACTTATAAAAACTACTATATACAATACTATTACTAATTACAATTTTTATTTGAAAAATACATGTAATCGATTACAAAAAAAGAAACAATTATCAAATATAATTTAGAATTAAAAAAATCTTTATTTGATTTTCAAAAATATTAGCTAATAATTTTGCCTTTTTTTTATCCGTGCTGGTGACGTTTACACTTTGAACGTTTCACGAACTTATGATGTTCGAAAGGAAATGTGAAATGGGCTAGGACAAACACTCGAGAATTTGACTGAGTGACTCGTTTATTCCGTAAAGATACAGAGAGAACCTAGGCGCAATCGATACCAGTCGATTTTCACTCAAAGCGATTTCGTTAGAGATACAACGCGTATCCTTTACACGAATGTTTTGTAAGAAATAATGCACAAATAATATATCATCAATGTGTATTAAATAAAGTGCTGGTTAAAGTTTGGTACGTTTCTGCAGCGATTTTTAAAAAATGATTTGTCGCTTTTTCTTTTTTGCAGGGAAAAGTTTCGAGACTTACAAATAAAGTACACATACAAAAGAGACCTATCCCATACATGCGTCGGAAGACACTCTTATTCCCGTAAAACCACCCCCAAAATCACTTTAACAATTCTCGCCAAGCTAAAAATAATTTGTCGCTCTTTTCCTTTTGCACAGAGAAAGTTCAGAGGCTCTCATACGACATACAAAAGAGACCGATCCGATACATGCGTCGGAAGATACGAAGAGAATTTTTAAGTGATTTTGGGGGTTTTTTGAGTATAAGGGTGTCTTCCGACGCATGTATTGGATCGGTCTCTTTTGTATGTCGTGTGAAGGCCTTAGAACTTCCTCTGTGCACAAGAAGAATAGTGACAAGTTATTTTTAGCTAAGCGAGAATTTTTTAGGCAATCTGGGGTGGTTTTTCAAGTGTAAGGGTGTTTTCTGACGCATGTATCGGATCGGTCTCTTTTGTACTTTGTTTGTGGGTCTCAAAACTTCCTCCCTGCCAAAAAAGAAGAGTAAAAATCATTTTAAAAATCGCTCCAGGAACGTTCCAAACTTCAACCAGCTATTTTTTTTTTAACTTATTTATTTTACATTAAATGCAATTGATATACTCATTGCAGAAATAAATACATATGATTGACTCAATAAATATCGCATAAAAAATTATAATATGCATTTAACCATCTAATTATTTTCAGATATGGCATTATCGTCGAGTTTCTTTACAAAATCGCCCCGATTTATCGGTATAAATTTCGTATTACATTATTTTATTCTTATTTGTTCAATAATAGCAGTTTTTAATGTGCTTTAATTTGCTTTAATTTAATCTTAAATACTCGTATTAAAATGAAGATTATTTAATATTTTAATATTTTATTTTGTTTAAATATTTTAATTACAACGCACTTTGACAGTTATTCGTCTGCGTGCAAAAATAATTTCGGCATTTTTTAATAATTTAAAATATATTAAGTAAAGGCTAAAGATATGATAAGTTTCATGATAAAAAAAGAAACTAAGTAATTTTATTAAACTGGACACACTAGCTAGCATTATACGCGCCATTAATTTTTTTAGTTACAAAGAATTATTTATTATAACTATGTTTAACAAAATAATATTTTATCATCATTATTTATATATTATTATATCATTATTGTTGCAATTTGTAATACTATTT